GTGTTCTTGAGTTGGGTACTACCCATAGCGATCCTATAAACAACAGATCTGAACCCTGTCCTATCCTATTCCATCCTGATACTTTCTGACAAATGAGAGCCCATTTTAGCAGTCACTGTATCAATCTACGGGGTCAAGAGACTTTCTCTCCTTTGCCCACCCTTCACCTTTCCAAGCATCATGTCCATTTCCAAGGAATAACCCCTCCTAGTAACAGGCCCGAATATGTGTGACAAAGCCTGATCATTCTTACCTCCAAAGAGCACTCTGGCTCTATCTTCTCCCAGATGTATTTCTTTGCCATTTTGGCTGTCCATGGCTGCCTTCTGGCTGTGTTCTTCAACATCACAGCTCAAAGACATCAATTCTTCCTTCATCTTTATTCATTGACCAGCTCTGAGATACATAACAAGTGGTCAGAAAGACCATGGGCTGAATCAGATGCACCTTAGTCCTCAAACCGGCATCATTTCCCATCAATAATTTGAAGAGGTCCTTAACTGCAGATTTTCCCAGTACAATGTGTTTCCTTATTTCCTGACTGCAGGTACTAATGATGTTACTTGTGGATCCAAGCAAGATGAAGTTGTTGACAGTTTCAATGTCCTCCCCATCCATCATGATTTTGCCTATAGCATCATTAGTAAGAATCTTTGTTTTCTTGATATTTAGATGATATTTATATATTGCTCATAGCATCTTTTAATATTGTGACTTTCAGGGCTTAAATTTGTTTTTCAGTTCTCTCAGCTTAAGAAATGTACAGTGTGTTCTTCCCTTTCCATTTTCTCATTCCAGCTCTCTGCCATTCTGTTATAATACTTTGCTTTGTCTTTTCAATCTGTTGTTTGAAATCGTTTGTTTGGCTCTTTTTACTTCAGCATGTTTTTCTTTTGTTTCAGCTTATTGATGCTGTAGTGCAATTTTTAGTCTCTTCTGACATATATTTTGGGTTTTTCCTTCTCTACTGTCTTTGTAATGACCTTTTGCTTTCTCCATGGATGATACTCTTGATAGCATCCCACAGCTCATCTAGTCTTTGGTGTTCAAAGCTTCAAACATATACTTAAGATGATCTTGAAATTAATTTTTCATAGATTGTAGCTTGATTGTTGATTGTAAATCCAAGTAAGATGAAATCATTGACAATTTCAGTCTTTTCCTCCCTCTATTATGATGTTGCCTATTGACTCACTAGAGGAATAGCGCCCCCCCCCCCGCCCCGATGGTTTGAATTCAGCAGATGCTCTACAGAAAAAAGAGAGGCAGATGTGGAATCTCTTAGTGTGATGCAATTGACAATCTTAGAAACACAGCAGAGGGTCAGCTCTGCCTCGGCTCTGATTCAACAGCAATGAAAGGGAGAGCATGCCATTATTTTGAATAAGTTTTCCCTAATATTTTGTGATAAAAATGCCTTCTATTTTTGGAATATTTTGTGTAATAAGTGACAGATTGCATTTGTTTGTTTGTTTTGTAGTTGGCAATCATAAGTCAATCTCTCATTCTAATTTGTTATTTTAGCTGAATAATTAATACTTCTGGTGTAAGAAATCAGGATGTATTGGAACTATTGTGTTGGCAAAGACAATGAGAAAATAACAAAAACAGCATGGATCTTAGCTCCAGTGAGCCAATGGCTATGAAGTCCAAAGCAAGACATTTTACATCTCTGTTTTGTGCTTCTTTTCTCACATGTAGAGTATGACCTTTTTTTTTTAGTATCACTTTTATAAGAAAGTTTATCCTAGACCTCCGTGGTTCAAAATTAGAACCACCCAAACCTGATAAAATTATCAGTCATCATTAAACCATTTCCACTCCCTGAAATCAGGCCAGTCTTGTAATTTCCTTATAAATATATTTTCCACCTTCAGTCATATGCTGAAAGACAAGGTCTATACAGACACTTCACTCTCAAATACTAATACATTAGACAACCTCTTGATCACAGTGTGGCTGTTGTTACTGTTGTCTTTGTAAGAGAAAGTAAAGGGATGGGGGAGAAAAAGAGGAGTGCACAGCCTCTTTCCATTTCATACATATTCTCTTCATTTTTTTTCACTACTCAATATGCCAGAGTGCTTCCTATAATTAAAAGAGTTCAATATTCTAACAGACTTGGATCACGGATACCAGAAGAATAAATGCTTGGCTTAAGGAATGTACATTAGAGCGATTGAAAACTGAAATTCCTATACAAACACAATGGGCAGATCACCTGTTGACTAGTTAAATGAAACAAAATTGATAAAGTCAAAACGCAGTTCCACGTAGCATCCCTGTGATTTAAAAATTACAGGGATGAATCTAAACTTATTATTTTTGTGGTCCTTTGATGTGCAAGCAATTGTATTACATTCAGAACGCATTTTTTTTCTCAGAAATGAGGTAAAAATTTAAATGTTTAGGATAACTCTTGAGGAAATCTACTTGCAAGTGAATATCACTTACAAGATACTAATTGGAGAATAATATGAAAGGGAAAAATCTATAGACCATTATTAAAGATTATACTCATTTTTTCCTAAAGACAATTATATTTAGCTGAAATTAAGTGAAAACATATTTCTTTATTGCTCTGGTGGCCTAGTAGCAAGAAGCTGAACTGTAATTCCAAAGACACAGGGTTCTTCGAGGCTATCAGCTGTTCCTCCCATGTAATTAACTGCTTCTAAAAACTCACTGGATGGTCAGCTATGTGTTGGTTCTGACTCTAGTATAAAACAACAACAACAACAACATTACTATAGTACAAATTTACATAAGATATATTTGGGTTATGCATTTTACTTTCAGAAAAAAAGCAATTTAGTTTAGTGTGGCTTTGTTCACAACAGCAAAGAGTTAGAAACAACCTAAGTGCCCATCAGCAAACAAATGGATAGAGAAGCTATGGTATATTCGCACAATGGAATACTATGCTGCATTGAAAAACCAGGAACTCATGAAATATATAAAATGGGTGACTCTGGAGGACATTACGCTGAGTGAAGTATCTCAGTCACAAAAGGACAAATATTGCATAGGGCCACTGTTGTAAAACAGGACTGACATCGAGGTTGGGGGAAGATGAGAAAGATGTGATAAATTATTTATACTGCATTGAAACAGATGAGGGAGAGAACTGTTTACAAGGGATATATGATTAGGTATTATTGTCATGATAGGAGTCCAGAATGAAGATTGCACGGTGGAGTGGACCTGAGGGTAGGGACTTTATAACAATAAAAGACTTTTTCTTTTACTTTTCAAAGAGAAGAGTGAACTGATGGGGGACGTTGGACAGGGAGAAAAGTGCAGCAAAGAATGAATGGAAATCCAAAGTCTCTGTAAATGTTCATTAAAATTAATAACAAAAATATTAGGAAAAAGGGAAAAAAGAAAAAGCAATTTAAAGGTTTTTTTAAAACCCTTTAGAATAAACACACACACACACACACACACACACACACACACACACACACACATTTGTGTTGTCCTGTGTAATTTAACTTAGGAGGCTCTGAAGAACAGGATGAGAAAGGTTCCTAAGAATTATGACATAAGCGTCTTCAATTAATTTCAGTAGTGTGCTCATAGGCACTAATATCCCATATGTCATAGTTATTCTACAGCACGTTCTATTTAAGCCATAAGGTGGACCCTGAACAAGACTTTTGTTCTGCATACATGTGCACTGTGCGTGTCCTTTCTAAGTGGGCTAGTTTTGTTCTCATGCCATGGGAGCAGGTGGCATGAAACTGTTTTGATGAGGTTAAAAGGCTCCTCCCATCTTTCTCCAAGCAGCAGGCTGAAGTACGTCAGCAGGGATTGTGAGCACGGCTTGGCTGTACAGGGAGGGTGGAGGCAAAATTGATACCAAGTAGGGTACCAAACTGAGCTCTAGATAGATCGTTTTAGTTGATGCTCTTTTCCATAACGGCTTCCAGGGGCAAAAAGCATTTTAAACATCTACAGAAAAGGGTGGATAGACCCCAAATCATAGGGAGAGTGTGTGTGTGTGTGTGTGTGTGTGTGTTCATGAAGACCGAGCTGCTGTATAGTGGGTATAAATGAAGCGGTTTCTTGGCTCTCTTTCCATTTTATTATTTACTAATCAGACTCCAGTACAGTTAGATAAAAGAGCAAGACTCTGTTGCCTAGATGGGAGGCCTTTAATGAGGATGGGTGCCCCAGGGGAGCTGAAATCCGAAGTAGAAGGATGATGCTTTTAGGTTTCTTGTCCTTTCTGCTGCTGCTTCTCCTTTTTCCAATGGGCCTAGTGAGCAGGAACTATCCAAGGTGCTAGAATGCTGCCGCTTGGCTGTGTTCTGCAGAGGGATTGCAGAAGGAGGGAAGAAAGATTACTGCTTATTTCGGAAGGTAGGCTCTTTGTTTCAGAATCCCTGATTAATCAGCAGCAGCAGCAACAGACTGAGGCAGCTGGAGAGGAGAGAGAGAAGCGGGAAGGGAGGGAGTCAGAGACAGGGAGGGAGGGAGCGAGGGAGGAGAAAGCGAGAGAGAGAATGAGAGTGAGCTGGTTGTCACGGGGGAGGGACTAAGCTACAAGCTAGGCTGCTCCAAACCTTCTGTATGTGAGTGGCAATGAGAAAGAGCATCTTTTTGGCTGAAAGGAGACACATAGAAAGGATGTTTCTCATTTTTTGTTTTCCTTTATTCTTGCCTTCACGGAATATAATCAAATGAGGCACCTTAGCCAGCCTGGGTGATTGCTTTGGGTCTTGCAATCATCTGTGTAACAAAGTGGGTAAAATCATTCCATTTCTTCCCTGCTGGACCTGGAAGGAGAGAGGCTGTCTGCTCATCCCCACCCATTAACTATGCCTTCTCTCTTCCAAATGTCTGCTTAAGGAAGTGAGCACCTGTCTACTGCCACTGCATCTTCCCAGAACTTTAAAGGCCATTTTCCTTGATAAGAGAATCATCAGTGATGCTCTGATCGCTAGTAATGAAGATACTAGGAGTGGGCACATTCCCTGTCCAGATACAATGCACTTTAATTGAAGAAAAACTGAGCTGAACTACAAGTCTCTTTCTTATGGTGCTGGATTCCTCCTGCAGAACTGACGTGGGATCAACGGCGAGACAGGGTCCTGGCAGACACAAGTCACCTTCTCATTGCACTTAGCTCTCACTGGGGACTTACATTTTGGTATGTATCTCATTTTTCAGATTCTCTAAGCATGCTCATTGAATCCAGCACTAAAACAGATCAGGAAATCTGGTGATGGAATGGAACGGATTTTAGCGAGGGAGACTGAAGGCTGAAGTTTGCATGTCTTATTAGATGGATTAGGAACGAAGCCACAGTGGAGGCACCCTGGGCTTCAGGCTTCCTGGTTGATTTGTACTCTCTCACTCACTGAGTTATGTGACCATAGATAGGGTTAAACTGGGTTTCCTTTAGTAAAATAAGCCACATTGAATTATTAAAAGCATTGAAAAAAATTAAGTATTAATTGCATTTGTGTTTTGCATGCTAGCTATTTACCTGATTATTCCATATCATAAATATTTTACAACAATCACTTAGCACATTTGTGTCAGCAAGGAGAGCCCAATTTTACCATCTCATTAAAAAAACATACCCTGCAAAAAAATACTATCTGACACACATACACCCTAAAGTTGAGACTCTCTTTCAAATTAGACATTAACCTCTTTAATACATCAGTTCATCTCACACAATATAAAAAAGAGGTATTACTAATTTCATCACAATGAATATTTTCTGAACAACTTTGAATAGACTTATTTCACTTGATACTTACTTATTTCAAAGGCATGTCTTTAGTCTAGTGACCAGCAGCATTTTAAAGAAAAAAAAAATGTAGTTCTTCTACACATATGCAGTTTGTTACAAGAAGTAATATTATTTATTCTCATTAGCAAATAGTGACATGATTAGGAACCCTGAGACTTTAATTCTATTTCTCTAAGTAAAGCTCAAATAGAAGAGAATGCAAATGAAGAGGTTACACAAAGCAGTTATGGTCATTTTGATAAGCTAACATTCATAAGCAAGTAGTGTGAAATAATGGCTATAGACCAATAGAGCAAATTAACAGCCTCCGAAGTATTTGCTTTCTAGATAATATTCAAATTTATTTTTATACTGCCTCTTGCTAATGATAAAAATTTATATGGGGAAACCATCAATACCCAAAATATTTTTTTTTCTGAGGAAAGTGTACCATATGCTTGCAAACTCAGTAAAGAGGACTCTCTGAAGGACACTGATGTTAGGAAATAGATCTGAGGTGGAAAAAAGTAATTTACAACTTGGGCTGTAGAACTTGTCCATGAACTTGAGGCATCTGTAAAGTTTAAAAGGAGAAGAAATGCAAAGCCCCTGGAAAGATGAATGTTGAATATTGTTTTAAAAAAGAATAAATCATGGATTCCCAAACCAATTAGATGCTTTCTATTGCTGCTCCAGTCAGCAATTTCTTAAACTGACAATATCTACTTCACAAATGTTGCCCTTTAAGCATCTAGGGCCATTTGGCCTAAAGCTAGAAAAGCATTTGAACTACTGACATTTGTTACAAGTCTTAATATTAGTGGAAATCGGCGATCTCCTTGGAGCACAGACAGATTGTACCGTGACAGCCTGGAAGTTGTGGGAGATACAGTCGGTGGTGTATGATGCTACAACATTAGTATGGTCCATGACCCTCTAACCCATTTTGGAAATGGGAGTCGTGAGGAAAAACTCACTGCAAAGTAAGCTGCTTTCTGAAAGGAACATTTTTCAAAAGTCATCATAGTCTTTGTAGTCGCTTCAACAAGCTTTGTTGTTTAACTTCATTTCCCATTTTGAGAACAGCTGCATTTTGATGACACAGAGAATGAGAAAATGAGTGTGACCATTTGTAGGGGTGGGAAAAGAGTTTCAAGCATAATCAAAGTGAAATTATGAGACTTGTTTTTGACAGATCATAAGATTTTATCAAGATAAAAAAAACCAACCCAATTTCCACATAGTTTACATGGGTTATGCATTAGAACCAGGAAATCCATTCTGTTGCTTTGGTCCAACACAAAGTCAGCAAATTTTAGCTGTTAATTTGCATATGTGTTTTACATATGTATAAGGTGCCTGATTATGTAAATACTTTTATTTTCATATAGCTTGAGTTTACAAATGAACTCATGTACATGCAAAAAATATAAAAGACCCCTTTTTCACTGACAGAGAAGAAGAAAAGAAATAGTTGAAATGACTTGAGAAACTTTTGTTTGGTTGCATCAATACCAAACAGGATTCTCTATCTCAGAGAAGATTAACATATAGAAAAAAATGGAGGGGAATCAAATTTTAATAACTCAAATTCTATTGAGGCCCTTATAACATTGAGAGAAGTGTAGTTACAAACGTAAGAAATAAAGCAATTGAAGAACATATCCATGCACAGATAACACCAAACACAATAATAAATGCTTAGTGAGATATACTAATGCATGGTGAATGCAAAATATCTAAACTTTCCATTAGGGAAATAATTTTTTTTGCATTGTATTATTTCTGGTTAACACAAACAGTATTGTAACAACATCACAACATTAACTTTACCTTTATTCTTGTGAAGCTGTCTCATAGAGTTAGGAGTGCCCTAAAAGTTTCTTATAAAAATGTTAAAAATGAAGGAACACTAGTAGCATAATTATAGCAAATGTCCTTATTAATGTGATCCTCACAACATCTTTGGTTTATGTGCTGTTTAGTGTTCCCAGCTCACAGCCACCTTACAGACAAAGAATGAATCGCTTTCACTGTCTTGCACCAACCACACAACTGTTGCTCTGTTCAAGGCCATTGCTGCAGCCTCTATGTCAAGCCATCTCCTTAAGGAACTTCTTTTTTTGCTCACAACTTTAGATCATTGACATAAAATCTTTAGGTAGAGAACAGCTCCATTTAGGTAAACACCTTAAGGGAAAGAAGTGTTCGTGAAGAAAATTCCAAACCTTAGATGATACTGGTATACACTGAACTCTGCATTTGGTAAAATGAAGTAAATGGTCCATGAGAAAACTCTGATAACACAGTGCTTCAATCTGCTTGATTCAACTCTGATGGAAACAGAGTAGTTGATACCACAGTGTGTGACACTACACTAAGGGTAGAATTTATTCAAAATTTTAATTTTAAGAAAAGGAAAATGAATCTTTAAACATGTATAAAAAAAGAAGCAAGCATGCATAAAGGTTAACTGATGCTGAATCGACCAAGTGCCTTCTATTCTGTGGACAGGCCCAATATTTATCCTCTTTGATGCCAAATGAGATGGCTTCTTATAAATTTATCTACATAAAATTGACATTTTAATTTACAAAGGGAATAATGCACAGCAATAGATCATAGTTTAATTTTCTTGCACAAGCATCATTAAATATACTCTTTCTTTATTTTGGTGCTAACAGTAAAAGTTTTTGGTGATTCATTTTTTTGGATTCCTTGAATGGAAAAAAGTGTCTAGAAAAAGCTAGAAAAGGAAAATTCATTTTTGTGTTTCCCTGGATTCCATTCAGACTTACTTATGGATATTTTTGTGCTTGTCAAGCATATAAAACAAGTATTTTCATTTCAGGAGAAACAAATATAAGACATAGAATGATGCTAGAAGCTCAATGGTTCAGCATTAGTGAGATGTATTAATGTTTTCAAACAAAATAAGAAAAAATGGTTCCATAAAGAGATAAATTGTAAGAATTTCTGTACTTGATTTGGTGCAGAATAAAATTTGAAATTCTGAGAAATGTCATAATGTTTTGTACAAAGTTACCTTCATGAAGGGTGTGGTCAGCAAGAAACACTCAAGAAAAGTGAAAGAATAAAATAAAATGAGCACTTAGCTAGCCAACTGGATTTTGTCCAACATCTGTATGTTTTAGCAGAAATGTAAAGATTTTTCAATACAGCACACCCAAAATCAGAGCAAAGAAATATCATGAATGCAGAATACAGCTGGGGAGTCTTGGTATAAAGGGAAGACACAGAGATATTTGTGTATTATAGTTTTCAATCTTAGGGGATTTAATTCCTGAATATTTCTTTATATTTCTTTCTGAATATTACTAACACGTAATCCCACCATTGCCATCAAGTTGATTCTAACTCAAAGCAATCCTGTAGGATGAAGTTGAATTGGGCAGGGAGTTTCCAAGGCTTTCTTTACCAAAGCCGACCATCATATTTCCCTCTATGGAGCAGTTGGTGGTTTCAAACTACCGACATTTCTATTAGCAAACAAGCACTTTAAATGCTGTGCAGCCAGGGCTCGTCTAACACATAATCGTTCAAAAGAACATGCTACTTGCAGATAAGCATCTACTTCTACTGCCCTGCAGAAGGATGTTTGTTTTAAAAACACAGGTGCAAAGATAAAGAGTCCAAGGGCAGAGGACAGCAGAAGTCAGACAGGTAGTGCAGACGAGAGAGGCTTGGCAGGTTGCCTTGAATGAGACAGACAGCTGAAGGGACTGGGCAGCCCTGGGAAGTGCAGACCTGGACCAGAGGAGCAGCTCTGTGTCTGCCACACCCCATGGCTTCCCAGAGACAGCAAGACCTCCTGTTATCTAGTTTGTTGTTGTTCTTACATGCCATCAAGTGGCCTTCGACTCGTCGAGACTTTATGTACAGCTGTAAATCCTGCTCGGTCCTGAGCCAATATTATTGTCTCTGACACACCGACCCTTGTTTCCCCAGTCACTGAATCAAGCCATTTCATTCACGATCTTCCTTTCTTGCGCTGTCCCTCCACCCTTCCAAGCATGACGTTCCTCTCTAAGGACTGGTCCCTCCTTGCAACATGTTCCAAGTATGTCAAAAGGCGCTTCAGAATCCTTGTGTTCAAGGAGCAGCCTGGCTTAACCCTCTCCAGGTTGAACCTGTTCATTTTCGTAGCAGTCCATTGGTATATTCACTACTCTTGTCCAGCACCACAGCTCAAAGACATTAATTCTCCTTCTATCCTACTTAGTCATTGTCTAGCCTTCTAATGCATAGCATGCAATTGTGAGGACCTATGGCTTGGATCAGGTGCACCTTAGTCTCCAGATGGACATCATTGCTCTATAATAATCTGGATAGGTCCCTGACAGCAGACTTTCCCCAGTGCAATTCAATTTTTTAATTTCCTGCCTGCT